GGTGTCAGGAGCTGAGCTCCTCGGCGTTGTGCCATCACGGGGCAAAGCCCAAACCTGCAGGCTCCACAGGGCTGGGAGCATCCTCTCATTGATGTTTAGCCACTGCACAGACAGCTGGGACACATCTGGGCGGTGGAGAGAGACTAACTTCTGTTTAGAAAAGAGGTGCTGGAGGTGGGGGCAGGAGAAGGGTTTACAACATACTAGATGGGGAAGAGAAAGTCAACAGGGATTTATTATTGACCGTCTCTTGCTAGGCAAGAACGAGGGGTCGCAACATGAAACGAGCAGGTTGTCGGCTTCAAATGAACACCAGCAAGTTCTTTTTTTTGTCATTGAAGTGGAGGATTGCGGGCATCGGATGCGGTGGGAGCTGAGAGCTCAGCCAGATCCACCAAGGGACTGGACACGGGCTTGGAGGAAAGGGCCATCGGTCGCTATTGAGCAGGGAGCGAGGGGCACGGCCTCTGCATCCCACCTGCCGGGACCCTCAATGCTGGAGGCTGCGAGGGAGAGAGGGACAGGGGGAAATCCCTGCTCAGACCCTGTTCACTCTCCGCTCCAGCTGCCGTATGACACGAGACTGGGCACGATGGACCTGGGGCCTGACCCAGCAAATGGCTCTGCGGCTCAGACAGGTGGGCGCTGCCCTGCCCGAGAGCAAACCAGCCTCGGTTTCCACTGTTGCTTGTGTCTTTTGTACTGCACAGCCAGCGGGACAGCCCCCGTGCCTATCCTTCTCCAAGAAGAAGATGGGCAGGAGCATGTGCCTGGGTTTGGAGAGGGAGCTGAAGCCCGGCGGATGGCAAGGAGTGCACCTCACAGTCTCTTGCCTTTCCTTTGCCACGTGTCCTGCTGAGACGCGTGCCCAGCGCTGTCAGGACGAAGCAGACTGTGTAAGACCCAGCCCTGAAATGGAGACTGGGGCATCTCTTGGCCAACATAGGCTCCATCCCAGTGATGTCTGAGTGCTGCCCGTCGAAACGAACAGGAGAGCAGAGCGGGGGTCTGCAGGAAAGTACCCCCAAAGGCAGCCGAGTACCCTCTCAAGCACCCACCTCTCCATCCCCTTGCGTCCGCGCAGGCAGGGAACATCCCCTGTGCTAGGAGAGGACGACGCTGAAGACATCTGCCCAGCAAAGTCCCCTTCCACCCAACGTGGCTTGCTCCGGACCACACAGAGAGACTGGCAGAGCGGGGATTAGAACTGACCTCAGGCTAGTGCTCTAACCACTCAACGCCCCCACCGCTGACATCACTCACGTAACTTAAAAAAGGCCCCTGGGGAAAGACACGCTTGCACCGATCAGAGCCAGGCCTTGTCCTGCAAAGCATCCGTGTGCCATCCCAGCCCCAAGCCCCAGGGTGGGACTGTTTATCAGTCCTGGGCTATGAAAGTTGTTTAAAACTCAAATAAACCAGCACATGGGTGACTCGTGGGAATCAAGCAAACAGCCCTGCTTACAGAAACACTTGCTATTACTAACTTTAAAAAAACAAAACACGCTAAACATAATGTTGTTCCTTTCAGTGAGCCGGGGGTGGGCTGCTGAGGGTCGTCCTAGGCTGCTGGCGGAGCTGCTCCTAGCAGCATACGACTACCCTTGGCTAAGGCCATAGGGATTTGGGCTAACCACTCATGCATAGTGGGGCTGGGGGGGAGCTGCAGAGGTCACAGCCCCTGCCCGAGGCAGCATCAGGCCTGTCCACACTACCCCAGACCAACCCACTGCCTGACCTCTGAGCAAAACTGCAGTCACCCCTGACACAGCACCAGGCATCGCGCCTGAATCTGCCCCAGGTAAAGCAGGGGGACCGCAGTGGTCAGTGCCCTGCTCCTATGAAAGGTGGTTAATATTCCCTGCAGAGATCCCAAGCAGAGGCCGTGCCCCCACGACAGAAGAAGGCAAAACCCCCCAGTCTGTACCAGTCTGACCAGGGGAAGGAATCCCTTCCTGACCCCAAATGCAGCATCGGTCTGAACCTGAGCAGAGAGGCAAGACCCTGTAGCCAGGACCCTGTGGGATTTTGTCCTCCCTCGAGTATTGATCTGCCGCTGCAGAGAGGAGGACGTGGACCAGCGGTTTGAAGTTGCAGCAAAGCAGGTTTAGATTGGATCTCAGAAAACATTTCTGCGCTGGCAGAGCAGAGAGACACCGGGGAAGGGGGGACTGCATCACCGGAGGTGTCAAGGAGAGGTGGGACAGACACGGGTGGGGATCACCTGGGTTTGCAGCAATGTCTATACTCTGCTATGGGATCTCCCTGACTTCTGGGCTTTGCTAGTTACGTCCTCCCCTCCTTTCTGCTCCATGTGTCAGGGGCTTTAAACTTCCTCTGGTGCAAGGGTGGACAAAAGATTTATTTATTTTTTTAGTCTTAATCTCGACCCTCTTGGCTGCGCCTGTTGGAGAGCTTTTAAATATAAGTTTCCCCATTTAAACACATAAGCATCATGCTGTGTGTGTCAGCTGGTCGCTCGCCCAGCTCCCTCATCCAAGCTCGGAGTTCAGGTTTCCAGTTAGCTTATTTTACCTGGGGCGACCCTGTCTCTGCTGCATACAAAGCAAATAGCAGACGAAGCCAAAAGCTGTGGTCTTTCTTCAGGCCTAAAGAGCCCCTCAACATGCCAGCCTCCTCTCTCTGCCCCTGGAGCAATTAACTCTCTCTGTAGCTCCGGTTTCATTTGCTGGCCATCAGGCACAGCTGGCCCCGGGCGGGCTTTCACTGTCTCAGCCCACTGCAAGCCCAGCACCTCCTTACAGTGTGTCTCACCCTGGTGCTTAGGAGCTGATCAAATGAGCCTTGCTCTGTTTTCAATCCAGAGAAAGAGTTGCATGACTTTTTTTTAACATTCGCTGGAAACTTCCCTGCATCCGATGAAGTACCTGCTAGTCTCTGGACCTGCCTTCCACCTGAGAAGTTGCACGATACGTCTATGTGAATGTGCATGCACGTCCCTCCATGGCTGGGGGGAGAAGCAGTGCTGTGCTCTAGGGATTTGCTATGCTATGGGCTGTCTGCTGTGAATTATGCTTGAATAACAGGACAGGGCACAAGGGAGAGCTGCAGACGGGGCTGGAGAAGGGCCGTGCAGCGAGAGACGAAGGGAGCTCAGGCAGGCTCCTCTCAAGGAGCAATCACAGCCTGGAAGACCCTACCTGGGGAGCAAAGCCTGAGGACAGCCGGGCTCCCTTGGAGCAGGAGAAGGGAGATCCCCATAAGCAGAGCACAGGCATCGCTGCACCTAGGTCATCCCCACCGGTGTCTGACCCCCTCCTTGATATCTCCAGTGATGCAGAGTCCCCCCTTCCCTGGCGTCTCTCCCACCGCCTCCCTGCTCTGCTAGGGAAGAAGCTGGGACAGGGGCACCAGCATCATGCCAAGGGACCCCGATATTGAGACGGGGAGGGATAAAGTGCTACAAGGGCTCCTTTTCTGCACTGGGATCTTTGCCATCACAGGGTCACTGAGCTGCGAGGGGTCATGCAAGCGTTAACCCCCCCACAGAGCCAGTGTCCTCTCACAGTCATCCCGGGGCTCCCTTGAGCGCTGCTTGGAGCTGCGTCTCTGTCCTGTACGTCTCCAGAAGCAGGGGCGCAAAAGGCACTAGGGACCCCCCATCCCACAATATGGGGATTTTGCAGAAGAAAACAGGCAGCATGAGGCCTCACCAAAATCTGGGAGCTCCTGAAACCACAGGCCCCGGGTTGTGCACGGCACGATGTGATCCCAGGCCAGGGCTCTGGGAAGGAAGGCACTTGTTGGAGGTGCACTAGACTACACTACCCTCACTGACAGTACATGGGTGTCTGAAGTGGCTTTCAGTGTCATCACCCGGACCAACCTTAGCATTGGCAATAGCCCCAGACTGAGCTCCAGCTCAGGCATGAAGAGCCCTTGCTGGCTCTTGCCCTGGTGCCTTTATGCAGGGAGCTGTGAATCCTAAAGTCAAAGAGCAAGAACAGCTGTGCCTGGGCTGAATGAACCACACAGCTCTGTGCTCAGGGACACAAAATCATAGACAAGGAGGGTTGAAGGGAGCTCGGGAGGTCACATCTAGTCCAACCCCCTGCTCCAAGCAGAATCAGCCCCAACTACATCATCCCAGCCATGGCTTTGTCTACCTGGGGCTTCAAAACCTCCAAGGATGGCGACTGCACCACCTCCCTGCAGAGCCTGTGCCAGTGCCTCACCACCCTCCTAGTCAGAAAGTTTTTCTCAACATCCAACCTCAACTTTGCTTGCTGCAGCTTGAGCCCGTTGCTCCTTGTCCTGCCATCTGCCCCCACCGAGACCAGCCCAGCTCCATCCTCTTTGCAACCCCCCTGCAGGGAGGTGAAGGCTGCTATTCAATCCCCCTCGGTCTTCTCTTCTGCAGACTCAATCAGCCCAGTTCCCTCAGCCTCTCCTCACCAGTCCTGTCCCCCAGCCTACAACCATTTTCATTGCCCCCCTCTGGACTCTCTCCAATGTGCCCACATCCTTTCTGTAGCGGGGGCCCACAGCTGGACACAGGATTCCAGATGTGGCCGCCCCAGTGCTGAATAGAGGGCAAGAACCACTGCCCTAAATCTGCTGGCAATGCTTCTACCGATGCAGCCCAGGATGCCGTTGGCCGTCTTGGCACCACGGGCACACTGCTGGCTCCTGTTCAGCTTCTTGTCCCCTGTCCCCCCAGGTCCTTTTCTGCAGAGTGGCTGCCCAGCCCGTCACCCCCAGCCTTCACCGGTGCAGGGGATTGCTCCCTCCTACTTTCAGGACTTTGCACTTGTCCTTGTTGATGCTCATGCGATTTATTTTGGCCCAATCCTCCCACCTGTCTAGGTCATGAATCCTAGCCCAACCCTCCAGCGCAGGTAATGGTGGAAAGGACAACGACTACCAGCCTTTCTAACAGCTCTTGGCCTGTCTTCTACAATCAGCGACCAGCAGCTCCCAACCCTGCTCACCCGAACCACTGCCAGTTACTGCCACACCGGTAACTACAGAGTAAAAAAGAGACATTTATTTCTCTAATAAAAAATGGTGGTGGAAGCGCAGGCTGCGGCTGGCTAAGCTGAATGGTAGGACACGTCCATTTTGGGCCAGCTGATAATTGGTCTTTGCCGGATGCAAAGTCTGTGAGAGCCGTGGCGTTGGTTTGCAAGCCAAGTCCTGTGAGCTTGGGGTGTCAGCTCCTTGCTGAGATACCCACATACGTTACAGGCTGGTAGGCAAGGGGAAGGGGGTGCATGGCGATACATGGCTGTGCATCCTTAACTTTGGTCTAGAAGCTAGCGAGAAAGGCAACGCGAGGCGGGCCCCGCATGGTGGAAGGTAGCCCGTCCCCCTCCTCTCGCTGCAGAGCACTCGAAGGGGATTGGGAAGGAAACAGAGTCTATGGCAAGCCCTGCAAGGAAGGCTGGAGGTGCAGTCCTAGAGCAGGCGGCTGGGGAAGCGACAAATGGGTCCCCCCCGGCCACGTCCCTTCCTCTCGGCACCGTCCCCTCCCGGCTGGGAGCTCCGGTCTCGCGGCGGCCGCGCGGTCTGTCCCGTCACGGCGTGAGGCACCGCACGCCGGCGTCCTCGGCGTGGCCGCAGTTCGTCTTCCCCCAGCTGGAGAAGCTGCAGTGGAAGAGGCTGTCCTCGGTGCCCTTGCAGGCGACGTCGTCCATCCAGATCCGCCCCAAGCCTGCGAACACATGGGGACAGAGGCGTGAGCGGCGAGACCAGGCAGAAACGGAGCAAGACATTTGCACGTGGCATCAGCCCGGCAGCAGCATCCTGGCACGCGTGGGCAGTGCCCCGCTTCCCAGCCCCCCATGCCCTGCAGGGCTCACAGCACGACAGCCCCTCAAAGACTTCCCAGAAGAGGGGAAAGCGTGAGTTGTTGTGGGCATTGCTCTCACCCCACAGACACCGACTCCCCTGGGCCTTTCTGCTACATGTCCCTTGCTTAGTCTCCTGCCCCTGGGCCGTAGCAAGAGTCTAGTCCTCCCAGCAGGGCTAAAGACCGTATTTCCTCGCCTACAACGCACCCCAAAATGTCATCCACACCTTGGTTTTGAAAGGCAGAACGAAGAGAAAAGATGAGGACTTGCATTACAGCAGCCAGCGTGTTGTTCTGCTGCCTATGGATCCCTGCAGAGTTTACATTTGGTTTCACTTGGTAAGTGCCCGAGCCTGTCTTTACTGTATTTCTCACGTACAATACACACTCCAATGTTCAGGAGCTTTCAGGAGCATGCTTATATGAGAAAAGAGGGTACTTCCCCACACCTAGGCACCCCCATGCCTACTCCTTTTGGTTTGGGCAGCAGGGTCAGCTGGTAGCCCTGGCTCTAGAAATGGGGGCTGAGCTAGTGCCAAGGCATGGGCAGATGGTGCAGAGCAGAGAGTGAGCTAAGCACCTGGAGACCAGCGTGGTCCCATGCAGCCTCACCCCTGCTCAGGGCAGACCAAGCCCCCTGTGCTAGGTGCTGCACATGCGCGTGGGCAGAAATAGCCCCGTCCAGGCATGCATAGCAGCTAAGCAGCTGAGGCAAAGTGCCTTTTCCACAAGTTGAACATGCCTGGCTCCTTCAGTCTCTCCCCACGTGGCCTGTCTGCCGAGCCTTCCACCTTTTCGTGGGCGCGCGGCTGTGCGGGTGCCGGGCCGTGCAGCGGAGACGTGGGCTGTGTTGGGGGTCGGGGCCACTATCAGGGGGTCGGAGCGATTGTGCACGTGCTGTTGTGTTTGTGTGCGTCAGGGATGTTTGAGCGAGCAAGGGGCTGCGTGTGAAGGGGCTGTGGGGTGGAGGCTGGTCTCTGGGGAAAGAAGGGGCAGGAAAAGCTTAGAGCCAAGGCCTTGAAGGACCCGGCTTCAGGTCCCTGCTGCGGCACTGACTTCCCAGGGGGCACGTGCATGTGTAAATGGGACCAGGTCTCTCATTCCTGTCCTTCCCGTCCCCCACCTGGGTGACAGGACAGAGGCCCCCTCTCAGCATCTCCCTGGGGCTCCACCCCACAAAACACAGCACAGAGCTGGCCTGGTGATGCTCATCCGCTTTGCTCCTTGTGCTGAACTGCGGGAGAAGCTGGGGCCTGGCTGGGACGTTGCAATTCTCAATGGACAAACCACCCCCCAGGTGCTACCTGTCTCGGTCTGGAGCATGGCTTGAGGCGGAACTGCCAATGCATCTCTGTCCTGGCTTGTGCCCCGGGCACATGCATAGGTTTTATGGCCTGGAGGATGATGCTGGGCCCTCCTGGAAGGGGCAGGTGCCCATGAACAGGGGGCCTATGCAGCCAGGCAGGAGATGGCTGAGATTTCACAGTGGCTAAGGGAACGGGGCACACGACATGCATTGGGAATCAGGCACCCAACAGCACTACGACCCCCCTTGTAAATGGCTCTCATGAGCCCTGGCATCAGGGAGGGCTGCTAGCCCCACCACCCTGCTCTGCAGAGACACCCAAGACCCAAGTGACCTGGCTCCAAATCCAGGGATCCCAAAGGAAACCGAGTCCGAGACACAGATGTCACGGGACTACGACAGAGCCAGCGGCCGTGGACAGCGGGAGACAGACTCGCCTTTCCAGAGGGTTTGTCTGGGGGGATTAAGGGCTGAGCAGGATCCATCGCCTCACGCTGCTGCTTTAGGTCAGTGATTTCCAACCAGGGTGCCACAGCACCCGCGGGTGCCTTGAAATCCTTTCACTGGTCCCCGTAACGTAAGCACTGTTACGTGGGCTAATATGATTCGCAAGACAAGGCCCCCCAAATTGAAGGACGTTTTGAAATGCAAAGTCTTTCCCAATCGAAACCCCACCAGGGCTTCGTCTCAGAACAGCCGGCACCTTCCGGTGCCGACGAATCGTCTCCTGCCTCCGAACCAGAAAGTTTTGAGAAACTTTTTCTCCAACATGGGAGGAAAAGGCACATTCCAGGAGCTCAATACAAGCAGGGGTGCGTAGCAGGTAGTGCGCTTTGTGCTGTGGAGAGGTCTGGGGGGAGAAAGGTGAAGCAACTTCCATATAGCGATGGAGAAACACGAAGGCTTCATAAATATTGCCCGAGGAAATAAAGGAACCGTGGGAGATGGAAAGGAAAAGGAGACCGCAGTGACCTGGGGGAAGGCAGCACTGCCAAGGGAAGGTGGGGATCTGGTTCGACGTGCGTGAGGGGCTTGGCTGCATTTGTCAGTGTTCAACGGGGGACGCAATGAGCTGGATTTATGAATAAATTAAGTTAAAAAGAAGCAGCCCAACTTGGTCGAGCTCTTCCCGCTCCCTTTGCTGGGGCTGCGAATGCCCCCCTGAAGCACAGAGACGGGGGCCAAACAGTCCATGGGCCACAAAGGTGCGTTGGTTGGTGGAGGGAACTTGCACCCCGAAAACGCTGCCGCAAGGATCAGCGCCCGTCGGCTCTGCTCCGGCCTCCTGGAGCTCGGACCGTCCCCGGTGCCGGGACCCACGGTGGCTTTTCCAGCACAGAGCCTTTCAAGGGGTGGGGGGCACATGTGTGTGTGTGTGTGTTTGTATGTGTGTGTGTGTGAGGTCTGTGTGTGTCTGTGAGGGTGTGTGTTTGTGTGAAGGCGTGTAAGGGTCTGTGGGGGGGCACGTGTGTGTGTATGCGCGTGCACGTGATGATGTATGTTTGTATGTGTGTGTGTGTAAGTGTGCATGAGGACTGTGTGTGTCTGTGAGGGTGTGTATGTGTGAGGGTGTGTGTTTGTGTGAAGGCGTGTAAGGGTCTGTGTGTGTGGGGTGTGTGTGTTTGTGTGTATGTGCGTGCATGTGATGATGTATGTTTGTATGTGTGTGTGTGTAAGTGTGCATGAGGACTGTGTGTGTCTGTGAGGGTGCGTACGTGTGAGGGTGTGTGTTTGTGTGAAGGCATGTAAGGGTCTGTGTGTGCGCATTTCTGTGAGAGAGTGTGTGTGCAGGTGTATGAAGGTCTGCGTGTGTGTGAGGGTGTGTGTATATGTGTGAGAGTGTGCATGTATGTGTGTGTATGTGAATGTGTCAGAGGCTGTGTTTGTGTGCATGTGAGGGGGTGTGTTTCTGTGTGTGTGGGTGCACGAGGGTGTGTGTTTCTGCATCTGTCTGTGTGTGCATGTGTGAGGGGTGTGTGCATGTGTGTGTAGGGGTCTGTGTTTGTGTATGCATGTGAGGAGGTGTGTCTGTGTGTGCATGTGTGAGGGGTGTGTGCAGGGGTCTGTGTTTGTGTATGCATGTGAGGGGGTGTGTTCTGTGTGTGTGGGTGCACGAGGGTGTGTGTTTCTGCATCTGTCTGTGTGTGCATGTGTGAGGGGTGTGTGCATGTGTGTGTAGGGGTCTGTGTTTGTGTATGCATGTGAGGAGGTGTGTCTGTGTGTGTGTGTATGCACAGTGCGTGAGTCTAGGAGATGCAGCAGAGCAAAGCAAGAAGCTGGGGCAGGGCAGGGCAGGGCAGGGCTGAAGAGAGGCCAGGGATCTGCTTGCACACAATCCTTCAGGCACACGTCACAATATTTGCCGACACGCACGCTGCAGGGTGACGAGAGCCAGCCCCGAATTGCAGCCCTTCAAGCATCCTTTGCCCTCTCCCCTGGGAGGCTCCGCGGCCCTGGGTGAAGATGAGGCAGATTTATTTCCCCCTCTCCCCTCCCCAGCTGGAGGTCCCGAGGGCAGGTCGCTGGCGGGGAGGCGAAGGAAACCAGCCTGGGGGGGATGAATGGCTCCCACGGGGAAGGAGCCACAGAGCATATGGAGTGCTTAAACTCAGCAGGGCGGGATCCCAGAAACCCAGAGCCGTGGGGCTGGAAGGGAGCTCCTGAGGTCACATCTCTCCAAGCCCTGCCCGAGGCAGGATCAGCCCTGTGCAAACCAGCCCGGACAAACCCACTGTCCGATCTCGGAGCAAAACTACCGTCACCCCTGACCCAGCACCAGACATCGCACCCAACCCTGCCCGAGGGAAAGCAGGGGGACCACAATGCCCAATGTCCTGCTGCTGCAAAGGGGGTTAATATACGCTCAAGAAATCCCCGGCAAAGGCCATGCCCCTGCTGCAGAGGGAGGCAAACCCCCCCCAGTCTGTGCCAGTCTGACCACAGGGGAAAAATTCCTTCCTGACCCCAAATGCAGCATTGGGCTGAGCCTGAGCGCAGGGGCAAGACCGTCTAGCCAGGACCCTGCGGGGTTGATGCCAGCAGGAGCATTGGCACAGACCCATCCTCATCCCTAGCCTGGGCTGCACCCAGCACTTTTAAGGGAGGCTTAACACCCCCCTGAGACATGGAGCAGAAAGGAGGGGAGGGGGCAACCAGCAAAGCCCAGAAGCCTGCAAAATCCCCACAGCAGCACACAAACATCGCTATGCCTAAATCATCCCCCACCAGTGTCTGTCCACCCTGTCCAGTGATGCAGAGTCCCCCCTTCCCTGGCGTCTCTCCCACCACCTCCCTGCTCTGCCAGTGCAGACGTGTTTCCTGAGATCCAACCTGACCCTGCTTTGCTGAAGCTTCAAGCCGTCGGTCCCCATCCTGCTGTCTGCAGCAGGAGAGAACCGGTGGGAGAGAGAGAAAGGGAGGCACCAGGACACGGAGAGGCCCCAAGAGATGGGGGTGAGGGCAGTGGGACACAGCCAGGACTTGGGGGGCAGGGGGCTGTCACTGCACTCATTTACCTTGGCCAAAGCGGGCCATGCGGTGGACCTCCTCTGCGCCCCGGAAACCCAGCATCCGGCACACCACGTCACCATCCTTCTTGTCCCAGCCGTCGTCACACACGGTGCCCCAGCGCCGGTCGTAGAGCACCTCCACCCGCCCCTCGTGGGGGCCAGAGCCATTCACCAGCCGGACCGGTGGCTCCTCTGCAGCCGCTGCAGGGCAGGGAGACAGAGAAAGAGAGGGGCAGTGTGAGCACCTGCTCCAGGGCACCCTCCGCCATCACCCAGTCCGTTCCCCCCAAACCTGGTTCTTCACCATCCTTCTGGCTAAGAAGGGCAGGGCTGCCGCATCTCTCTGCAGCTCAGAGGGCCACAGGATCCAGTGGGGCCTCTGACCCACGCTCCGGTGGGGGACAAGAGCTTCCCCTGTACGAGTGAGCCTGCTTCCATTCAAGTCAATGATATAGGGCACATCTACACTTGACGCTTTAATGTGCATTAGCTTAAGTTAATGCACATTAAGGATGCACATCTACACGTGCGCATCCGTAATGCATGTTAAAATGGCAAATTTAGGCTATTTGCGCCTAAATCTGATACCTGCAAATGCAGGTATCATATTCAGGCACGAATACTTAAAGCGCATTAATGCATATGTAGACGCGTTAAAGTGCATTTAGTCCCAAGTCAGTCCACACACAGCGTTAATGCAATTTAATGTCTGTATGTGTAGACACCTGCCTAAACCCACTAAATGTGCATTAAATTTAGGCACACTTAGATGTACATGCCCATAGAGTCCTAGAGTCCTAGAGACGCTGGGCTAGAAGGGACCTGCAGAGGTCACGTCTAGTCCAACCCCTGCCTGAGGCAGGATCAGCCTTGTCCAAACCTGCCCAGACAAATTCATAATCCCAGAAATCATTGAAAAGCTGAAGAAATGGGGCTGGCAGGGAGCTCCAGGGGGTCACTTCTTGTCCAACCCCTGCCCGAGGCAGGATCAGCCCTGTCCAAACCAGCCCAGACCAAAAACAGTGTCCAACCACTTCGTAAATGCAACCTTGACGCAACACAAGACATCACACCTGAACCTGCCGGAAAAGCAGGGGGACCGCAGCAGCCAACATCCTGCTACTGCAAGAGTTATTAATTAATGTACGCTTGACTGATCCCAGGTAGATGGCCATAACATTGTGGGACCATGGGCGGATCTAGGATTTGGAAAATTGAGGTGGAGATAGTGGGGTGCATCGTTCCATACAACGCAACACACATTTTTCTGCAGGAAAAAGTCAAATGAAAGCTTTACTAATATGGTAGGGGCCTGTATTATTCAGGTCACGGTCGAACCAAAACAAATATAACTTTATTGGAAAGTGCATTAACTCGCTGTATCATCTATCACATATAAAAAAAACAATCAACTAGGCAAAAATAATCAACAGATGTTGTTTTAGGCCTGTGATCATTAGAATTAGAACGGGCATCTCTTTCTGATTCATGAAACACAGTCAAGCCTTCTCGCACATCTTGACAGCACACCCAATGCTTCACTAAAAGTTATTTCCACAACTGAGCCAACTATCACCAGAGTTAATCTTTTGGCCAATGAATTATTTTTTTAGAGTTAAAAACAACCAGCAGGGGTGTGAAACAGGAGCTGAAGTGAGAGGGGCAGTGAACAGACAGCAGAATGGCAGGAGAAAGGGTAGCTTGATTAAAGGAACATGGAGACTATTAAAAAAGGACAGAGAGTCGTTAACACTTGTGGAGTGAAGAGTTTAGAAGGAATTAGGGAGATGATAATGAGCCATGAGGTCAAGTGACTGCCTCCCCGCTGCTTATCTATAACTGCTGCTGCCATGGCCAGGCAGTTGATTTAAAATTTTGGGTGGAGCAGGAATCAAAGGGGGGGTGCAACTACACCACTGCACCCCCTGGATTCGCCCCGGTGTGGGACACAAAGTGCACAGCCTACTATTGAGGTTGCCCGATAGTTGCTATCCCAAGCCACTGTTTTCAGATGCCTAATATCTAACTAATGGGAAGAAATGTCCCGGGTGTATGTCCCAGCCAGAGGACTTTTTTTTTTTTGGGGGGGTGGTGTGTGTATAATAATCAATTTAATGAAATTCTGGAGACAGTAATGAAACAGCCACCTCCAGCCAAGAGAGAGAAACAAACACGACCCTTAATGTGCCGGCAGAGATGGGGGAGCACTAATGCCATGGTACAAGATGCTGGTGAGATCCCACGCATATGGCTCTGGTTACCCATGATCGAGAAAGATGAGCCCATGCTGGAAGGGGTGCCAAGAAGGCCTGGAGGGAGTTCAAGGGAAAGAAGAGCTTGTTCGATGAGAGGATGCTAAATGACCAGGGCTTGCTTAGTGAAGAAAATGGGGGGAGACACAGCAGTGGGGAAGGAGAAGAGCTAGTGAAGCTAAGGACAATGTTGGCACCAGGATAAAATGGGTAAAACTGGCTGGGAATGAATTCAAGCTGGAAATGAGTACAAAGCTCCCCCCAAATCCCCTGTCCTTCGTGGAGTTAACACCCCATTGAGAGGCATGTTGCAGCTCCTCCCTCTGGGATCGCGCATCCTTATGACTTTACTGGGGTCTGGGTTTCACCCCTGCAGGCCTTTCCCCTTCTCTGTCCTCCCTGTTCCTCCCCTCTCCTCTCTTCCCCTCTCCCTCCTTGGGGGTGGTACACAATCTTCCTTCTTTTTCCGGCATGGAGCAATTGTGATTTATGTGGCAGGGGAAGGAGTGAAGAAGGCAAGCAGAAAAATCCAACCATGGAGGAGATTCTTCTTCCACTGCACCAGCCAAGGCCTCCGTCTGTGCCAAGGAAACAAGTTGAAATGAATGTCCCACAAATCCCATTATCTGGGATTATAAATGCATTGGCTTCCAGGGCAGATGGCAGTTTCTATCCAGCTGGGCTCACTCCGTGACTCACCCGCTGCTGAAGTCAACTCTAAGGATGCACGCTGGGCTCCCCCAGAAGAAGAAAAAGGAGATTTTTATCAGAGCTAGCTGGAGTTTTTCATTCAAAACTTGCGGGGGTGGGGGGGGTGATGAAAAAACAGCTTTTTTCATAGATCTTTTCATGAGGAACATGTAGACATGGCGACATGGGGGGGAATCGGTGACATGACACAAACATCGCTGTTTTTTGGAATTCACAAAGGGATTTCTGATGCTCAGATGAAAAGGGTTAGTCCCATCAAAGAGTTTGGCCTGGGGGGGCTGATGCACTTTGGGTGGCAAAAAGAAAAGAAAAATAAATTGAACCATGCCAGTTCTCTTGGGGGGAAAAACAACCCTTCAGGGTTGGAAATTTGATGACTGCCCCCGTCAAAAGCATTGTAGAAGACATGAGATGAAATTCGGGGGGGCTCTTGTTGACAACAGTCAAGTACTGGTGGCATTTCCACGCTCACGCACTCTACAGCCGCTCGGCGTCTTGTCGGATGCCCGCCGGACCACAGAGAAGTTAACGATTTTGTTATCGGCTTTGTACCAACACAGGCTCTTCTAGCTCAGGTGTAAGCAGCTTGCTCTTTATATCCAGGTTTGATCCCCAGAACAGCGGCACTTATTCAGGGTCTTGCATTAAAACTACATTTGCTGAAATACGCCCATTAAACATGAAAGGGAATAGCCAACCAGCTGGTGCCCCCCATCGTAAGTGACTGTTTTAAAGGTAGCCCCAATGTTTCCAGTGCAGATCGCTCATCATCATCAGTAATGATTTGGACGATGGGATTGAGTGTGCAGTTAGCAAATTTGGGGACGACACCAAGTTGGGTGGAGGTGCAGAAGCTCTGGAGCGTGGGGCTACGATGCAGAATGACCGGGATTGACTGGAGAAATGCTCTGCAATCAGACGAGATTCACCAAGGACAAGTGCAAAGCCCTGCACTTGGGATGGAATAATTGCATGCACAGATACAGCCTGGGGAATGACGGGCTGGGCTGCAGTACTGCAGGGAAGGACCTGGGGTGATGGTGGACCAGGAGCTGAACAGGATCCAGTAATGTGCTCTTGTTGCAAAAAAGCCAACAGCCTCCTGGGCTGTATGAGCAGGAGGGGTCACTTGCAAATCACGGGCAGTGATTCGCATGCTCTGTTCAGGACAGGGGAGGCCTCCCCTCTAGTCCTGTGTCCAGTTTTGGGCCCTGCACTTCAAGAAGGGCATGGACAGATTTGGAAAGAGTCCAGAGCAGAGCCACAAAAATGATGAGGCTTGGGAGACACGAGTGAGGAGGAAAGGCTGAAAGAGCGAGGGGCGGTGAGTCTGGAGAAGAGAAGGCTGAGCGGGGAATTTGGTAACAGTCTGCAAATACCTGCAGGGCAATTACAGAGAGGATGGAGACGGGCTTTTCTCTGTGGCTGCGGGAGACAGGGCTAGGAGTAAGGACCTCGAGCTGCAGCAGGGGAAATGTAGGTTGGAGATGAGGAGGGACTTTGTGACTCTGAGGATGGTCAAGCAAGGGAACAGGCTGCCCAGGGAAGTTGAGGGATCTCCACCCTTGGAAACTTCCAAGAGCCGGTTGAACAGACACTTGGCTGGGATGGTTCAGCCAGAGAGCAGGGAGCTGGGCTCGATGAACCGTGAGGTCTCTTCCAGCCTGACTTTCCTCTGATCCTATGAAATTTGCTTGTCATGCAGCTAAAGACCCATTTGACTGAAGTCTCCAACTTTCTGCTGGTCCTTGGAGCGGTTGCTGCGCTGTTAGCACCCATGCAAGGGGCTCAAATGGAGGAACCTGGTGAGGATGTAGCATGAAGGCAAGGTCTCTGAACCCAGGACGTAGGAGGCCAGCTGGGGCACGTACGGACATCTGCAGTCATTCTGATGTCCAGGGTTTGCACACCCCATGAACTTATTGAACCCCCAAGATTGGCTTTGCTTTGATGCAAGCACCCCGATCGCCTCCAAAGCCTGCTCGAAGCCCGACTCAGAGCAGCTCCAAAACATGGAGAACTCGTGGAAGGATCTGGGCTGAGCTCCAGGTTGGCAATGAGCCTCAGGCCTGGACATGCCTCAGCTCAAGCTTGGCTCCATCTCAAGCCTGGACATGCCGGAGGACCCCGGCTTCGACCGCTCGCCGTCGGGGCAGGTCCCTGAGCAGCCCGGCTTGCAATGCAAAGGCCGCGCCGCACGCCGCAAAGGTTTTGTTGGCCGGCGCTCATCGAGGCTCG